CTTCAGGGCAACCAAATGTTTTGTGATACACATAGAGAACTGCTGGGTACACAAATTTACAGTCAATATGGTGCGTATCGTGTGATATAAATATGTATTTAGGGGGGTAATTTGATGAAAGCATGTCACAGACTTAAGAGACTTTTGAAATGTTTTCAATTCATAGGCCTCCTTTCAGGAATTATAATTGTGACTAAGGGTTGACTTGACAAAAGTTATTTTTACTTATTTATTTTTTCAATGGAGAGCCCAGGGACCAAAATGAAGGCATGGCAGATGAAGAAGAAGACAAGCATATTAATATGATGATTTGTTTGTAGCGTATTGATTGTTGCAATGCTGCGCCGTAATGCACAGTGCACGCTGCGGTCTGACCAGGCCCGCGGTCTTTCAGCTTCCATTAGCTGGCAAATCCCCACACAGTCAGGGCGCCGATCAATGAAGTTGCATCTCAAGTTGTAATGGAAGCATCACGGTTGAAACATCAAACGCACGGTCGCCATACAGAGACTGAAGTCATTTCGTGTTGGATGCTTATTTAGGAAAAAGTTTGGCTTGTGAAAAGTTGAACACCAAGCCCCTCCCCATCTACTGAAGCATCGCGCCAGGGCTAATTTCAATCAAACGATTCTGCGGAAACTAAATCTCTCATTAGCCGCGCTCACTCTGACAAATGTTGACTCCCGATATGGGCGAACGCTGGTAACTACCAGCGAGTGTCGTTCTAATTAAATTCACCTTTATTCCTCCTAGCGGTAGTTGTTGGCATGATGTCTATGCTCTCCATCCACCGCCTTCCCTCAAGCCATATCAACTAATGACCACTTCTCGGGAGCTGTGTGGAGCATTCCTGGAAACTCACAATCACATTACCATCTGGTTGATGGCATGAGTGTACGTGCTTATATATTATGTGTTTTTATATACATATAACACACACACACACACACACACACACACACACACACACACACACACTGTATTAAAGCAAACATTGTTCATGTCTCACTGCCTCACAGGTGACAGTTTACAATTGGGTGGGAGGATGAAGGTGACGTCTTCCTACCCCGGTGTGCTGACATTGTGCACTGGGGCCCAGGAAAAAAAAATCCCATTAACCAAGTAAAATAAATACTTTAATCGTTCATAACAATGTTAGGTGAAATAATCATTTTTAATTCAAGTTGACAGCTGACTGCATGCGCCACACGTAATAAAATGATGATGTAACCCACCCAGATGGCGTTTGTTTGCATTTTGGGTTCAATGCAGGTGGATAGTTGGCTTGAATTTCATATTTACAAGGAGGACTCAAACAGAGAGCGATTACTATTACATGCAGAGATAAAATGATGTATTCTTTGTACCACTGATTTAATGTGTTTGCGTTTGTGTTATAGCTGCAGCTGTTGCGGAGGGCGCTATATGACTGAAGTTGAGTTGAGTTCCTGAAAGTCGGATACAAAGTACAGATAACCTAATGTGAGCTTTGGAATGTGAAATAAAGCCCTGGGGAGAAACATACATGCACGAGGATTCACATGCAAAGTCCAAACAGAACGGCCAGAGACTTCCCGGAACTCCAAACCTCAGAACTGAAAAATGGATAGGTTTTCATTTAAGGTTTAAAGGCCTCCTCCAACTCTCGAGCGTTAAGTAAATAAACGGGCATGGCCATTCCTGGGGGAAATGTGGCGCTAGCCAAAACATTTAGCACACAAACTAGGCAAAAATAACAACTCTGGGATCTGTGACAACGTAGAAGTTGCATCCGTTTAAATATAATGTGACAAATGGTCATCCAAACTGTGACTTTCCCATGGGAAACACCCAACACCCACAATTCGCAGGAAGTTCATCCAAGGACAGAGGATGAGAATGAGGTCACGCTCGACGTCAACAGAACTGTCAGCTGAGACGTTCGCCTGAGCTGAACTTTAAGCGGTAGCAGTGTGTCAATGACCATCTTTCTACCTTCACAAACAGTATGTGAGTCTCATTTTTTTTGTATATCGATACAATCGGCAATTATACAGTAATTTGAGAGCACATGTCGCACTAAACCAGTGAGTGAGTAAGTTCACAGAGCTCTTGTGTTGGATCTTTGAACTTATAAGTACAGTCGGTGACAATTAATCATCGGTGACACTTTACCTTCAAGGTGGTCAATGGCACATTACGAGACTTCATCGCTCCAGGACAACTGTCGGCGTTCGGTGTTCTCCGGCTGGTTAAATGACGGTTGGCCATGACACAGATGAAATAATAGAAAGAAAGAAAAAAAGTATCTTAATAGAGAGTACACACTGTATTCATATCCATGTTATATAGGTCAAGTTTGCAATTAGCAGTCCAACAATTACTTGGGCTGGAAATTTGGATTTGATAGTATTTTCCCGTCAGTCGACAAAAGACGAAAATTAAAGAGTGAGAGGCAGGTATGACATTTTGTTAATCTACAAGATGATGCCTGCGTCCCTTTAGTGGCAGATGGTGCGTAGAAACAAAAGCAAAATGCCAGGAGGGTGGTTGGCATTTGACGATAGAGTGGGCGCGGGGACTTTCTTAGAGAAGGTGTGTGTGGGAAGCTGTGTTAAATTGTGTAAGAAGACGAAAAACATCAGAAATGGTTTGAACACAGCATCATTGAATGGACATTTCAACAAATTGCAGGGTTTGTGATCGTTGCCTTTGAACAGAGTTTGTCAAAGGTCAGAAAAATCCAGTGCTTTGTTCTTTGCCATTATTGGGTGCTCGAGCTACAAAGTATTTGTTTAGGGTCAATATATCGTTGGAGGGACCGTGACCTGTGGCTGAGACAAAGCCTGACACTGGGTAGCACATTTCGATTCAATACTGCCTTCATAGTTCATTGTATCTTACAGAGAATGAAACCCCCCAGTCGCAGCCTATCTTGTGATCACCGTCCATGAGAATAAACAAAATTATCGACCAAAGGAAATGGTAATTTTTTTACCTTAACTGCACTGTAAGGGAAATGTATTGATTCCCTGTTACAAATGACTAAATGAAATCATTAGGCTCAATCAAATTAATTGCATGCGAGTTGTCTGATCATTAGCGTTAATTAAGACTAATCCCACTCTTAGCCAGTTGAAGTGAATCTGTGGCTATGGCAACCCACTCCCAAATGGTAAGTACCGATGAGGCCTGCTGGCTCTTCTTCACTCCCTGCAGCAGTCATGTGATTTGTTGAGCAATTACCACACAGCAAGAGAAAAAGGAGCACTTGTGACAAACTCATCAGTATCCTGTTTTATGTGCCAAATTCTTCCAATGTCACCCAAAACACAACACGTAAAGGCAAGTAAATGCAAATTACACCATATACTCTTCAAGTTGGCCGACATTCATTTTAGATTGCAGTACTAGTAAAATTGACTGAGGGAAGGCTGAGCAGGATGATCAGATTCAGCTGTGTAAAAAAAAATCTCCTTTACAATCTTAAATGATGCCAATTTAAACTACTTCATGAACATTGGTTATTATATCCCGTTTATGGGTGTAAGGTGTAATCTTCAATGTGCAATATCTGAGAATTCACTTTTTTTTTAATCACATACCTGTTGTGCGGGATCAAAATGAACGTGGCTGAGTGATCCAGTTTGGCTCAATACTGTCACCTGGCGGATACTATTGTGAACAACATAAACGACGTGCGTCAAAGGGTCACCTCGATTGCCTCCAAATATGGAAAAATAAAAACGGGAGAACCATTGGAGAATCAGAGAAAGCCTTAAGTTGTTCTTTTACTAACGTCAAGATAAAGGGGGAAAATACACAGCTTCGTTTTGCTCTCACTGTTTTCCGGATATCCGGCAGCTGCCCACTGCGCTTGTGTGACCGTTACCCAGAATGCCCGGTAATTCACTCCCCATTAGTTGAATTATAGTTTATTTAAAATGAAATATTAGAACGTAAAAATATACATACTTAAATATTTTAGAATTTACTTTATAAAGTGCATTTTTATGTGTAAAAATGCTATGTTGACACCTATACTTAACTACGTAACAACATAATAGCATTTATATATCAAGAGACGATTAACCTTCCACGGCTGGTCCGATGGCGGTGAGATCACAATTGATTGCTTCAGTGAGTTACAGAACCTCTACGTTTCTTCTCTCCCCTCCCTCACCGCCGGCCTTGACTAGCCTTTTAAAAAACGTTACTGTAGCACTGTTATCATTTTTATAACATTTTTTTTCTTTTACTTTCTGATTCGATTAGAATTCTTCCTCTAGGCTGCATTTTTTTCACTTGGTTCATTTTGTCCATACAGGTACGATTAATATGAATGAATGTATGAATCTTGCTATACAATTCAATTCCCCTATGGAGACCTATGTATCTATCTATCATTAATTTGATAATTGATCCATTGTTACTATATATGTCAGCGCACCTTAATGATAATTGTACAAACTAATTTTAAAAAACTAAACAATTTGGGCTTCAACTGTTTACCTTTTGCTTCTGTACTGCACTCTCAACGTTTTTGTGCCTTCATGCGTCAACTAAGACGACACAAACTTCTTTTCATCATGTAAAAGCAACAGACAGAAACGTGGGATTATATTGTTCTAAAATGAATGAATTTCCAATTTACATGGGTGTTAACATAAAAAAATGTGACAAGATTTGGCTGTTTAGCTAATGTGCCTGATTTCGCTTTCATACGGTCTTGTGCAATATTTTGTGTTTTGGTGGTCAGTGTTTAAAAAAAAAAAGTCCATCTGATGTATAAATTATCATAAACTGTACACCACTACCCCTCCAAAAAAAATGAGTATAATCAGAAAAGTTGGTTACGATAATGAGGAATTTCAGGCTTTACCCCATGTATTGATAGATAGAAAGCAGTTACTGTACCTTCAAATTGCAGAAATTAATTACTCCAAACTAAAAACAAAACTGTTGATTCATATGTTGCAAAACACATTCATCCCCAACGTCCAATCAAAACAATCATAGTATGAGTGTTTTTAGTGACATTTATTATAACTGCCAACTTGTTTGGAATAATAGAAAAGCTATGCTGGTTATCTTATCATCAGTTTCATCAGATAAAACAAGCATACAATAACATGAATTTGTCATCTTCTAAAACAACCCCAGCTTGCATTCCACCATCATGTGTGGCTCACCCATTATTTCACTCTGTGCTGGGTCTGGGAAAAAAAAAAAAAAGTATGACTGGTTAGCAACATATTTGACAATTCTGACTGTAAATGAGTTTGAGTGCACGTCACCATTGAGGATGTCCTCAAAGCCGATAGATTCATCGGTGCCTCTGAGCGTGTCCAGTGCTAGGTTGGAGCTCTGTAAGAACGGCAGACGCTGGATCTGGAACCAGGAGGAAGATACAAAAGGCAACAATGGAAATATAAAGAAAGAAACCGCTCAGGTGTCAACATACACAGAGGCTCTCTCAACGTTACCTGTCTTGCTGCCCTATATTCCATCTGCAATTTAAGTGGGGCATGAAGACCTTGGATGTTTCTGAGGGAAGAGAAATTCATCTTGTCCTGGTTCAACTGGAACTGTTCGCCATGGAAATACGCCACAGCATTATGGGTCAACAGAAAATACTTGCATCAACAAATTACACAAAGAATTTGTTATATATTTTTGGGTGATGGTTGATGGAACTCTCTGTACGTCTTTGTTGACTGGAAGGCAGCATAAAATTGCTGCACAGTATCATTCAAAACATCACGGGTTAAGTGTTCAGTTTATGTGTCACTTTTTGTGTTATTAAAAAAAAAAAAAAGGTGTCTCGCATCAAGGTACCACTGTGTTTTACAAGCTCTCTTGATACAAAGAAACATAAAAAAAGGAGAATCCAAATAATCTTCTGGATCCTAAAGTGAGTCGTTATTCGAATCAACTTACATTTTTTTCTGACAACTCCAGTGGATGTCCAGGGATGATCTCAGTGTTTACATTGTTGAAACTAATCAGTAAACGACAACATATAAATAACACGTATTACAAGTCCGATGGTGCTCACGTGCAATTTTTAACTTCAAATAAAATTATTTATTCAGTATATACTGAATGTTATATCACGTAACTCACCCATGGCGCAGCGTATCGTGAACGCCGTAAGCCCCCGGTGGACAAAAGCCAGCCACTGGTACGCTCTCTTTCAGCTGAGACTGGATACCTCGAGAATTCTGATATTCATCCCATATATTTGTTAGTAATTCACATGGCAGAATTAAACACAGGAAATTCTCAAATAATCAATCTACGTTTAGGGAAGCAACCCGTATGTTCAACGCAAGCTAACGAGCGTTAGCTCCAGTGACTAATCATATTCACAATAAATGGGGCTGCATCGATGATGGCTGCAGAGGACACCGCACATAGTTGATGTATAAATAAAGATAGCAGTCAATACCATATTAGTAGTATTACTTTACATTAACGACAGGAAGAAAGTGAATCGAGGTACCATTATGATTCGACGACTTGGGCTTTGGCTTGAAGACTGAAATGTGTCGCATTTTTAAGACGCAATGTCCGGTGTGACGTCACGGTGTATGCGTCAAGCTTTTTTTTCCCTTATTGTTTCTCGAATACTGTATTTTAGCTCCAGCCTCCGACTGTTATCGCCGAAAACTTTTTTGTTTTGTTGCTGTAAAGACTACCGACGAGTGAAAAGATATTTGCATTCACTTGGCGTATGATACCATACCACACACGTCTAATGTTGTCGCTAATGACATGTGTAGTTTATTTTGGAGGGTATAGTTTATTTTTAGAGCGTCTGAAATGCAGCTCGAAAGATCCGAGCTTCGTTTCTATTAGTGGTTACTTTATATAATTAATAGTGACCGCATAATGTCAGATGGGGGTATAGCTCAGTGGTAGAGCATTTGACTGCAGATCAAGAGGTCCCCGGTTCAAATCCGGGTGCCCCCTCATTTTCTAAAAAAAATAATATCCACACTCATAATTTTTATTTACTTTCCCGCCTCTCTATAGTTGAAGGCTGACAAAAGCACAATTTTTGATTGAAACTAGTATAAATATGAAAATCAAAATACTGCAGCAAAAACAAATCCAGTATGTACATATCAAATGTACATTTTAGGAATAAAACCTGGCCAGGGACAAGGTCAGTGTGTACCCCTCCTCTTGCTCAAAGTCACTTTGGATAAGTTACCCATCGATCTGGAATTGGATCACTTGTAGAAAGCTCAGCCACCACCCATTATTATTATTTCAGAATGGAACTCTGTCGTAAACTGACGAGATCATGTGTAAATTATATCATGTAATGAACTGTACTGCTCTGTACTGTATTTCCATATTAAATATGGTTGCCTGTCATTTCTAAATTGCAACAGCATCGGGCCTTCCATGGTCAACCAAGGTTGGCCAATGTAGTTTGACTATTTAAGGCAAAAAATCGACAATAGTTTACAACATTCCATGTATATTGCATTGTTACACGCTCTATGCACACACATTAACGCTCGCTGCATCGGCTTGGTAATGTTTCATAATCACGAGAAGTACACACAACAACACGACTCACGGACAGTGAAGATACAGTCACGCATGGACACACACTCACACACAATTTCCCCTGCAATCTCTTTTCAGCTCATTGGCCCAAAAAGTGCCAAGTGAATTTATTATTAAGAGCCAAAGTCGAGGTCGTAGGGTATATTCACAGACCTCAAGCTATGAGCTGCCGGAGGAAATCAGGTCAGCTGAGCCACTGACCTCTTTTGAATCACTTCTTAACATACTGCCGCTTTGCCATCGTGGTCTCTGAAGTGTGGAACTGTATTGCGTCATACTGAGAGGCGATTATCATTTTACCTCTCACAAGAACAGTTCTCACTATGATGTAGCGTATTTCTACAGCCATGTATAATATGGCCACAATAGTAAATACATCATTAAATGAGTATGTTTCTGGACACTGTCCATTCACATTGCAGATTGCGGTTCATTATTGTGTGTGTGCGCGCTCGTGTGTGTGAGTGTGCGTGTATGCAGCTCATGGCGTATTTGAGAGTAACACACAGACAGCACCTTTCTGCCAATCTTCTTTTCCCTCGTGTGATGTGATGTGTGATTAGAGAGGCCCGCGTCCAGGCTGAAGCTTTGAATTCCAGCCAATGGCATCCATTATGTCATCGCCTCGCTTTGCATTTCGCATTTTAAAAAGACAGAAAGAACTTGCTTTTGTAAAATTTGCCTATGTAAAAGCACTGACAAAAGAAAAAGAATCAACCTGCTCCATTGATTAGCCGCATATCCATTTTGCACCATTATAAAGTCTTCTGAAATTTGCATGAAAATGCAGATTACATAACAATTGAACTGAACACCGTAATGCCTTGCAAACCAGAATAACAATCTGTAGATTGCAGATTTAGCCGTTTGGATAACAACTCTCATTAAAATACCCATCCTTTCCCGATTCGCGTTTATCCTGTTCAGGGTCACAGGTGAGCTGGAACCTATCCCAGCTGCATGCATTAAAATCAGGCGAATGAACCACTACGCTGTACTCAATGTAATCGATTTGTAAGTATTGCTTCAAAGCTCACACTGAATGCAGTACCACCATACGGGCAAATGACGGCAGCAAGGGACCAAGGAAAGAAAGGCAGCCACAAGCTCTTTATGATGACAAGCACGTTCTAGCACTTCATCAATTTCATTCCACATCTAGTTAAAAGTCATCCTTTGCTGGAGTCGGTCGTGTGGTCAGGTACTCTCTGTACTGGTCCGTCCGTGCATTTGCCCTACTCGGTGAAGTAGTGTTATTTAATGTTTTTTCATTTTCAATTCTCACTTTCACTGAATACAACAACATCAACATACTGTACTGGATGTAAAATGAAATAATAACAAATGGTACGTTCGGTGACCGGTAACCACGGTTAAACTATGAGCTATTTTGCCATGTGTTTCATATATCTACTATTTTTGGCATAGAGTACTGTATTTGTAAAAATATTTTTTGTTTTGTTGAATAAATGCCAAAAGGCTTTGTGGTATTCTGCTGACTGACTGCAAATGAGAAAGTGGCTGTGACAATCCATGCGGCGCGTTGTACCGCGGCAGCCTGCCTCGATATTATTTAATATTGATGGCAATACTGAGAGACCTGCGTGCTGATTCTTTGGTTTTACTTTGCCGAAGGGCCTTCGGAAGCCGTTGCTTTGATAACCTGGCAGGGTCACCGTGTGACATTTGGGGAGTTCAGTTTTTTTTCTTTTTTTTTTTGTGTCAGTGTTGCCTTGGCAAGTCACAAAGCTGCGGGGTCGAGTGCAGCTTCATCCACCGAAAACATCCTTGCATGAATTCGGTACGCATTTTGTGACATGAATCGCAACTATATGACATTTAAAATTTTAAGGTAATTATAAAAATGTAATTGAACTTTGGTGTGTGTTGGGGGGGGGGTCCACAATCATATATTCGTCCATATTTTTTTCTAGTTCTTGTCCTCATTCGGGTCACTGTTTTGCTGGAGCCAATCCCAGCTGACTTTGGGCAAGGGGGACACCGTGAACCAGCAAATTTCCACAATCACCTCCTGTACTATTATTGGATCTAATCACAGCATGCATAATGAACTCAGGTAGCTCATAATCACAGCCAAGTTATTATCTGATCATATCTCCGAGTTCACATCAGGAGTTCAGTGAGAGATTGTTCATCATCAGTCGGAGCTTAGCTTTGAATTTTAACCATGGGATGGAGATGATACCCAGATATTTAGAAGCACACACACACTCACCTTCACAGAAAGGAAGAGTTTTTAAGGTTCATTATTTGACATTTTTTTGAAACAGTTACTTGTCAGGATTCTGGGCCTCATTAGATCAAGCTTTCCTTTCCCCACCTGGATGTAATCAAGCGTCAACAAATACCCGTCAGTAAACACCGTCGCCTCGTTCACGCTCCTTTCACAAACAGTAATGTTCTTCTTTACTTGGCTTCATTCATATTTTTAATTTCAAATGTGTAATTTAATCATGCTCAAATTCATTGCAGCATAATACGGTGTTGTATTCCAGCGAATCCTCCAAAGATAGAATTACAATGGTCATGGATTCCATAGACCCAGTTTTTATATCACTGTGAGTCTGTGGCCAAATTAAGTGTGGGTCATGTTCAGCAGAGAGCATTTTTTTTTTTTGCTGGGCATAGTCACGTGTTTGCGTGTTGAGTATTGTGAGAGCAGCATCAGGTGCTTCCTACTTTTTATTGTATTTCTGCATGCGCCACAAAGCTCGAGCCCAATGCTTCACATTTTCAGATATCAGGAGCACGCATACGCTCTTGCATTCAACACACATGCATTATTTTTAGCAGCCCAAGTCACGGCTTCCTTCATTGTTATAGAAGAACACTCAAGCTCATAGCTGGGGAAGTTTGAAGACTGAAATAGCAAGAATTAGTCAGCGCGTCACTTCTGGATCCAGTGGCCTGAAAAGTAGCAACAAAAACCCTCTGCGATCATCTGGGGTAATGTTGAGAGTAGATGGCCAAAATGTGTAATTAAGCGACATGTAAAGGGGAGGAAAAGCACTTTTTCAAGGGGAGGTAGGGAGCCGTCAAAGTGGGAGATGAAATGAATGCTGAATAATGAGAACTTTATTTCTTTTAATGAAAGTACTATTTGGCATCTGGATGCTTGTAGGACTTCAGGTCCATATTTTATCATCAGATTTTAATAAGTCATACAGGATACCAGATCATTTCATGCCAGGTGATGTACGATACCAATAATATAAAAGGTCAAACAGTATATTTTTAGAACTAAATACCGTATTCCGTAAATATGATGCATTCATATTCATTTTATGTACCAGCTGTCAATGTGGCTGGAAAAAAAAACCCAACCTTCACTTCGTAAAAGCAGAATTTACATTCTGAATCAGTTTAAAAAAAAAAAAAAAAAAAAAGCAATCCCTGATAGTTGGCACAATTATAAACATTGAAAAAAAAATAATAATAATAAGCAGCGAAAGTATGTTACTCGTTCCAAACAACTCAGCAGTTTTGCTCTTTAGGGCTTTGTATATGCTGACATGCGTGCATGCGTGGCTCTCATTGCACAGTGCCAGTATGCACACAAACTGCTGATGTAGCCTGGAAAATAATGGCATTAGAATATCTATCATATATGCAATAGTGTAATCTCAAAACTGTCACACCACAATGCAGCCGTCGAATAATGGCGGACAAAGAAGGATTATATCATTGTAGGTTAATGGACGGAGACCACCGCACATTGGGTTATTGCATGCCACTAATCTGCCTGAATCGTATATTATGTCAGCCGTTATGCAGTTTGGGTTTATAGAAAAAACAGGCGAGGACTCCCAAATGCAATTTCCCGGGAGTGCTAATACATTTCCCTGAAATGTAGACAGCCGGGTGTTGTATTTGTGGAATTATCGAAATAAGGTAAGTGTCTCTGCCCTCCAACATTGAATCGAAATGCACCAAAAGAGACAGATCATATATCATTCTCTTTGGACAATTTAGAAATATGGGGTCACGGGTGGGGCGGCGGGGGCACTTTTGCTCTTTGCAAGAAT